ATAGTGGTTTTGAGCTTATTTTTCACAAGGACACAAAACTGTGGTCACACTTTACTTTAAGGTCCAATTCTCGCTATTAACAAAACATTAACTATGACTTTTGCCTCAAACTACTAATTTGCTGCTTATTAATAGTTGTTAATAGTTATTAATAGTCATGCAGAATATGTGCTTTATAAATACTAATAAACAGCCAATATGTTATTAATAGGCATGCTAATAAGCAACTAGTTAATAGTGAGAAATGTTCCCTATACTAAAGTGTTCTTACCAACCCCTAAACTTTCACACAGTATTGTATATGCACTAACACTAATATTAAGTAAAAATTCTATACATTTAATTAAAAAGAAATAATATGCAAAATGTAGATTCATGGTCGGTTAGAAATATATATGCTTGATAAATTTTCAAAATTCAGTCGCCATTAGCAGCTGTGGACAGAAGGTCATTTTGAGCCTTGTTTTTAGTGAACACACACACACACACACACACACACACACACACACACACACACACACATACTGAAGAGAGTGTGAGTAAAAATCCTTTTTTGTGTGAAACTGAAGCTGTTGTTCAGCGAAGTGTGATCAAAGCCACACACGCTCTGTTCTGACCCACTGAAGTAGTGAATGAATGACAGGATGTCTAGCCAATCAGAGATCTGACTCTTTAGCTGCAAGTCAAACTTCCACAGATGAATTTACAATTAGCAAAAGTGATTAAAAATATATTTTAAGTGCTCAGTTTTTAATAGTCCCTTGATGTAACTGACATTCACCCAGCCAGAACCGCCTGAACGCATCTTCCTCTTAAAGCTTCTGTCTATGTAAATGAGGGCGAGGCCCCTCTCTCTGCAGCAAAGCGCTTTTTCCCCTTGATTGATCTGTATTATGTATCGCGGCCTTGAGTGGGATCCTGACTTAGTAGACTGTGTGTGTGTGTGTGTGTGTGTGTGTGTGTGTGAGTGAGTGAGTGAGAGAGAGTGGGATTCTGGCTCAACACTAGTATAAACGGTAAAGGGATCCGCGAGCGGCTGTCTCCTCTTTCTTCTCCTCACAGACCTGTCGGCGAAACACGACTCCAGCTGGATTTGGGAATGAGACGAGACAGAGGGAGGGCAGATTATCTGATACTTTCCAAAAAAAGCCCCCCCTCACTTCTCTCTCTCTCTCACACACACACACACACACACACACATACACAAACTCACAAGAAAGACATAGACGTACACAAACACACAGTTCAAACACACATGCATTCTCTCACACACACTCACACGTGCACGCTTTAATTTCTCCGCGTGGAGTGTGTGAAGCCGCACATCTGGCTGCGCTATAGGGGCTCTCTGTCTTCTCTGGGCTCTGGGTAGAGGAGTCAAGTTCCTCACTGTTTCCTCAAAGATCTGGTTACTCAGAGGGCAGAGAGAAAAAGAGAGAGAAGGAAAGAGTGAGAAAAACAAAGTTTGGGGAACGGAGAGGAGTAACATAATATTAAATATGAGGAATAGCTGAGTGTCTGGATGGAAGGCCTCTGCTATTCTAGTTCCCTGGAGATTCTGCCTGTGGTCTTATGATTCAACAGGCAGGACTTTCGGGACAAGAGGAAAAAGAACGACGAAGGGTGAAAAATAGGTGGAGAATGTAGCCTAGGGCGATGGATGGAAGGGATAGGAAAGCATGTGATTGAATGATAGAAAGAGCTGTCAGTGACTTAATCCAGCTGACTGTTGTGGAGTAGATGTAACGGGGTAGCGCCCCCCTCAGGAACACTATAGTTACTACATGATCTAAAGGATACTTTAAAGCAAACAATTGAAAATTCAGACATTATTTATTCAATCTCATGCAGTTCCAAACCTTTATGACTTACCTTCTGGGGAACACAAAAAAATGTAATTTTGAAGTATTGTATTGGCTCTTTTTAATTGTACTCATTCAATGAGGAATAATGCGTTAAGCTTTCAAAGATGCAAAAACACTACCAACGTTTTTTGACTTTTGAATTCGTATATCTAAAATTTAAGTTGCTGTTCACTAATAATCTTCCCATTTAGTCATCTGTTAACCTGTCTGGAGCAGTCTGATTCGCAAACAGATCATTTAGATTTATTTGGGATTAGCTGATTAATTTAAAAGATCTGAATCAAAAGAATGATTCATTTTCAATTGCTACTTATTATTATTATTAGTTATACGAATAAGTAATTGTATTTTTAAAAATATTTTTTCCATTAATTTTTTATAATTAGCAACAGGATATATATATATATATATATATATATATATATATATATATATTCTCCTGCTGTCAAAAATGTTTTTTATATACTGTACTTCCAACATTAAGCAAAAATTTGATCTTTTAAAATGCAGTTTTCCTAAACTGTACTACTGTAATTAGAAGTCCTGTTTAAAAAAGTGCATTGTAAAAGATCACGTTTTCGCTTTATGTTGGAATTACAGTATATGAAAACGTTTTTGAGATCCTTTAGGATTGGACTTTTTATTCTTTAGATTACTGTTCACTGTAGGCCATTATTTTATAGTTGAACAGTGCCACTTTAAAATGACTAGTTTTGTGTTCCACAGACGTAAGTTAAGTCATACATTGGATTATCATGAGGTTGAATAAATAGTTTTTTGACAAGGGATATAACCGGCTATATTTATGTTTATTTTGCATGTACATATTTGTAGTTCAAGAGAACAGTCCAATCAACACTCAACTATCAGATAATTTTCTGTACTGTAGGTGTTGAGTATTTTTTTTGCTGGGAGTAGACTTCTGTGGTTGTGTGTATTAAAGAGAGAAACTGAATCAATAAGCTTGTGCAGACGTCAGAGTCCTCATTAAGGTCTGTATCCTCTGGACATTGCATTGTTTTGACCGGCCATCTGTTTAATAACTGAAGTGCGGGTTATTCTATCTGTCCCTCAGATGCTCTTTTAGAATGAGTGGACTGGAAAAAAGTCTTCCCATATTCCCAAACAGCCCGAGTCCTAAAAAATACTAATTTCAGAACAGATGGGGCTGATCCGTTATCAACACTCTTATTCTGAGAGTCTTCGTTTATGTGGAAAATATTTTGCTAGCCTAAGTGTTATAATGTTATGTTTGTTCTAGGTGGTGGAGCTGATCTCTAGTGCAATTGGAGATGTGGTGCAAGGAATCTATCATGAGAGCTCCACTTCTGCAGAGGTAAGAGACGTTCAGCCCAGTGCATTTACCACATATAGCCACCAGTGGCATTCTGTGGGAACAAACTGTATTGACAAAAAAAAAAAGTTGCTTGAGCACTAAATCAGCATATTACAATTTCTGAAGGATCATGTGACACTGAAGACTGGAGCAAACGCTCCTGAAAATTCAGCTTTGCCATCACATTAATAAATTATATTTTAAAATATATAAAAGTTGTAGTAATATTTCACAATATTTTACTGTATTTTTATTCAAATAAATGCAGCCTTGGAGAGCATTACAGACTTCCTTCAAAAACATTACAGAACAGTAAATTGTCTGTTTATGAAACATTGTCTTTTATTATATTCCCATTATGTCACCTATTTGATAAAAGCAACCGCTCAAAGTCATGTAAATTACTGTAAAGCACAACCTCTCTGGTTTATTGCTTTAATAAACACGTGCCATCTATGAGACGTAAAATGTGTCATTGCTAAGATTTCAAAACAGAGCTAAGACTGGACAAGCAAAACATCTCCAAACAAGCGAAACACAGACTGACTTAAAACATCTGCAAACTGCTCACAGTAAATAATGAATGACAAAGTTTCCTGTGTGAGGAGAGGAGGAGGAGGAAAAGTGATGGAGAAGGCCATGTTTATGTGAGCGAAAAAGGGAGAGAGAGAGAGAGATTCAAGTTTCTTTTACCCTTTTTAGAGGAGACGTTTCCGAGCAGATGTTTGCATCACCTTCCCTCCTTCAGTTTCACCAACCCCCTACCGCCATACCACCATTTCATTTTTCTTTTTTATTCTCTTGTTTGGTTTAAAGTGGCATCCTTACATTTTCTAGAAACATTCTGCTTGCTTGGGAATTGAACAGTCTCAATGTTTTCTATACATTTTCTGTGCTTTTGAGGTATGTTTATGATCTATTTTAGCTCCCCAAATAATCTCGAAAAACAACACCTTTCAAAAAACTGAGGTTGATAAGACTTTTTTTTATGTTTTTGAGTGTATTCTTTTATGCTCACAAGACAATATTTATTTGATAAAAATACAACAAAAACAGTAATATTGTGAAATATTGCCATTTTAAATAACTCTTTTCTAGTTTAATATATTTTGTGATGTTTTTAATTTGTTTGATGGCAAAGCTTAATTTTCATTACTCAGAAGACATTTCTTATTATTATCAATGTTGAAAACAGTTGTACTGCTTAGTATATTTGTGGAAACAAAATAATTTATTTGGAATATAAATCTTTTATAAATATCTTGACTGTCACTGATCAATTTTGATCTATTTAATGCATCTTTGTCTATTAAGTAAATATTTCTTAAAAAAAAAAAAAAAAACTTAATGACCCCAGGATTTAAAAAAATAATGTACATCCCAGTATTTATAATACACTAATGCTTATTTAATTGAGTTTTTCTGTATTCTGAAGGAGGGCAGTCTAACAGTTGCATCCTGGGAAGACCAGACATTCCTGTCCCATGGTGCTTTGCTTGCCAAGAGTTGTCAGGCAGCGATGAAGCTGGCCAGACACGGTAATGAGGCTCAGAATTTGACTTTTCAGTACGGAAAACACCTCGCTCTGGGACACAAGGTGTGTACGCACAGTCACACAAGTGCATTGTGGGCACAAGCTGTTTGTCTGTATGCTGTCTTATCAAGTTACATTCTTTTGTGTAGATAGCTAATTTCAAAAAATGTGTGTGATATATGTGTGTTTTGTAGCTGAACTCTGATCTACAGCCGTTCGTGAAGAGCGGGTCAGAACCGTCTGTGTTTAGTTTGGACTCAGCTCCTGTAGTCTTCCACAGACAGATCGTTGGACCTGAGCGGTGGTGGCACCAGCTAAAACAGGTACCAGACATCCATATCAGAACACTTGCAGCTGTGTGATCTGTAAAATAACCTGGTGAATCTCACCTACTGTATTTCACTACAAAATGTAAAAAAAATAATCATTAAATTGATGCTGAAAACACAGCGTTGCCATCTCAAGAATACATTACATTATAATAAATATTTAAAATAGAATAGAATATATTAAATAGAAAATAGTTATTTTAAATTGTAGCAACATTTCACAAAATTACTGCTTTTACGGCATTTTTGATCAAATAAATACAGCCTTGGTAAACATAATATGCTTCTTTCAAAACCATAGCCAACCCAAACTTTTGAACTGTAGTGTGTAGTACCATGGTGCATAAATATTTTCCAATTTTAATATATTTTTTCACATCAAAAAAGTCATAAATGTGAGCTATGTGATGTCTCAAGGCAGCTAGCAGACAGTTAAGCCAGTTTTACTGTATTATGTTTGATATTCATTTCAGTATTTATCATTAATTGAAGTGATTCAATAAGATTTTAGCCTCTAGACTGGTAGCAAAACACCATTACGGTTCAGATTTCATTGTGTCAGCATGACGTTCTCTGGATTCACATTTTTCTCTCTTCATTTCAGGTTCAGAATATGGCTAGACAGATTGATTACACAAAGGTAAGCGACTCCTGTTTTTTGATTAAGGGAGAGGGAAAACAAAGTAACGAGTGCCTCATTTTAGTGTCTACTTATTCAGACAACTTGTGTTTCACTGTAAAAGTGACTAAATCAATTGATGATTTTCATTTAGCCAATGAAAAAGTGAGATTGTCTATCGAATTCAAGAGAAATCAATCCTCCTGGTCAAACCACTAATCAATGATTTCAGCCACAATCCTTCTGATGAAACATTCATACATTTATGATACAAATCGATTCGCCAGGAGTCATGAAATCATTCCCAGGGTCCCAGTGTGTATGTGGATGTTTACAAACAAACAGAAATAGAAGTTAATTCATGTATGATTAATAAAAAAAGAAATAGATTTGAAGTTGTTCATGCTTATTTAAATATTTATTTTTATAAGTGGAGAAACCTTAAATCGCCTATTAATATGACAAAAAACAGTCTCCAGGAAAAGAACTTAATAAACATATTAAATAATATCTGGATGAAAGTCTAAAAAAGCAAACAAGCAAACAAAAAAGGGTTAGGGAATAGAAAATATAATTAGCTTAGTATCAGTTTTATTTATTTTGATTCAGTTTTTATTTTTATATTTTCTGTTTTCATTTTCATTTTAGTTAAAGTTTTTGTAATTTTGTTGTGTTTTTGTAATTTGTATAATTTTTTTTTATATATATGTCTGTATATTTTTTTGTTTGTTTTTTAATTATTTTTTTAATACATCAAGTTAGACTAAATTAAAATGAGAAATATTGCCTTAACAATTAGCTGAAATGAAAAATTAAAGTATTTTATTTCGAGTAACAAGGTTTTTTAATGGTTTTAATTTTAGTTTCAGTTTTAGTTAACTATAACAACTCTGCTCAGAATAAAAACAGTAGAAGGAAATGAAAAGTCTGCGCCAGCATATAAAAAAAACTAAATTTATGTGCGTAAGTTAATGTAATCAAGTGTGAATCTGAGGCATACTAAATAAAAATGTAAGAATCGGTCACTGAAAAACCCACATTGATCGACTAGTGCTGTGAATATTGGTGGTATCAGCCCTGAGTGAGCCGATAGGAGGTGTTTGTTCTCTGTAACTGATAGCAAGTTCAGAAATTTGATTTCCAAAGTCAGAAGGAGAAGAAAGACAGAAAGAAAGAAGGGAGACAGTTAGAGGCGGTGGGGAGGGGGCAGGAAGAGGAGGAGGGCACAAGCAGCTCGGGTCGCCGTAGAAACAGGATATTAGGGGATAGAGTGGCAGGTTTATTTGTAGAGGAGACAGAGAGACGGTTTGACAGCAACATCACACAAGATTCTCCTTCAACAGGGCACAGACAGACACATCACCTCCCCCCTCCCCACACACATCACATATCTCTGTTATCAGCACATAAATGCGACATTAATCTCTCCAGTATTCGCTGTCTGGTTTGTTTTTTGGTGTAAATGTGTCTCGGGGGGTGGGGTCATGAGGTCATATCTCTGTCTGTTAACCTGAAAATATTCTGCAAAGCTGTTTATCATATTGAAGTCAAAGAAAACTGTGGCTATAGAAACAAGAGAAATCAGTTGATGTCATCATCTACCTTTCCCACATCCACGTCTTTCTCCGTCTCCCTGTTTTTGGCTTTCTCTCACGCACATTAGTGAAAGCAGGTCTCTTCTGCTGTTTTTAACTCGAGGCCCCCAAGGGCTTCTTAGCACAACACATCCCAGAATTCATTTGGCAAAATGGCCTCCAGCAAAACATGTTTGTTTGTGACAGTGGAGGACTACAAGACCATTTGAGTGAGGAAGAGTGTGGAATACTCTGGGTTTTCATTTAATAATAATTTATATGTTTAAAAATATATTAGGTATATTTTTTATTATTGTGATATTTTGGTATGTTACTTATGACATATTGATCATATATTTTTAATAATATATTGATAATATATACTGCTGTTCAAAAGTTTATGGCCCATAAGATTTTATTGAAAGAAATTAATACTTTTATTCAATAAGGATGCATTAAATTGATCAAAAGTGACTTTGAAGACATTAGTAACTTACATTATTAAAAAAAAACATGAAAAATGCCGTTCTTTTAACTTATTATTCATAATAGAATCTTTAAAAAAACATCACAGTTTACACAAAAACATTAAGCAGAATTAAAAACATCAAAATATCTTACTGACCCCAAACTTTTTAATATTAGTGTATTCTTTTAAATAATAGATTATATTTGGTAACATTAGTTTATGCAAAAGGTATCATGAACTAACACTGAACAACATTTTTACACTGTTTATTAATCTAAGTTAATCTTAATTTATAAATGTATTATTGCTCAGTTAATTTATGTTCACACATACTACATTAACTCATTTTAATTTATATTTTGAAATATTAAAAATGTTTTACTGTATGTACAAATTAAAATTTAACCAAGATGCTGTAGAAGTATTTATTGTTTGTTATTGATGCCAATCACATTATTATACCTTATTATAGTGTTACTATCATTTGTTTTGCAAGCAAACCCTGTTAATCTGTAGAAATTGCCTGTTTCAAATGGTTCCTTGCCTCTAAATTTGGTTAAAAGAATATTACATTTCCTACATCAGTTTCATCAGTTTGATGGAGTGATATTAAAATGTTTCCTCATTCTTGCGTGTTCTCCAGCTCCGGGGCCTGATAAAGACGGAAAGAGGCGTGAGCCAGGCGCTTGACCTGTGCAGTTACCACGGCAACAAGGCCTTAGAGGCCATGAAGTGCTTCCCACCCTCAGAAGCTCGGTCGGCACTGGAAAACATGGCGTGCGCGGTCACCAAGTTCTGAAGATGGTTTCAATCTGGCTGTATATATGAATCCAATTTTGTTTGATGCAGTTGATTAATGCTGGAGGTTGATCATGATTTTTTTGGGTGCTGTTTTAAGAGGACTTACTTTGGAGTGTTTGCGGTCCCCACCTGCTCTACAGATGATGATTTTTATGTGGAACTGATTGAGTCGCACACAGTCGAGTTTACCGGACTTATACACACTCTATGCATTTAGCCAACAAATCAGCTTTATCTTTTAAAATAAAATGAGATGTCTTTTTGAAAAAAATCAATGTCTCTCTTTATTCTAAAATTTCTACGATTCCCTGAAGTATTTAACGGAAGTCAGTATTTCTATACACCACTGTAAAGAAGACAAACAAACATTATTGATATCACTGTAAGTTGGTTCGTGACCATAGAGAAACGTATTGGTATTATAGGGGGTGGCATTAACCAAAATGTTTGTCCGAAAACCAATGACAATTTGTGAGTGTGTTTGTGTGTGTGTGTGTGTGTGTGTTGTGGGTGCCCGGGGTGCTCCAGCAGCAGTGTTGGCAGTAATAATTAATGAGGTGAGTGTGTGACCTGAGTGAATGGGCAGGAAATGCTGCAGTATTGATCAGCTCAGCGAGAGGACTGGCGCCAGCCTGGGCAGCCTGCGGTTTCCCGGGTGACCACTGGGGGGGCGACTAGGGTGTGAAGTGGGGCGTAGGTGAGTGACGGTCACCGCCAACAGCCACCGGGCCACACACACACACACTTGAATTGCTTGAAGGACAGAAAGGGAAGAACATGCATGCAGGAACATCAGTAGCTCAGAGTTCCTCCCATGTCTCTCTCTGGCCTCGGATATGTAGGCAGGATGTTACACTAAGTTTGCTTGGTAGAAGCGGGACAGCCCTCTGGTCATACATGAAAAATTCATTTTGGCCTCAAGCAGACCTGAGAAAACTCCCCATGAAAACCTACGAAGACACAACACCTGTCAGAGGCAAAATTTTGTGCTGTCTTGCCCTGATCAGACTTTTGTTCAGACTTTATTATTAATGTCACTGTGATCTGAATTCCTTATCACAGATCCAAATATCAAACTAAGCACAGAAGAACAGTATGAAAGGTCATGAGAGGTCTTTTGATCTTTTGTTTTAAGGAGATTGTGGGTTTGGGGTCTATACCTCTTGAGATTGTTCGAATCACTATTTAATTAGTCGTGTGGAAGCTTGCTGCATTTAATCAGTCATAGCTAACACTTCACAGACTCACAGAATGGAAGAAATCAATGTATTATTGAATTTTCTGGCAATTTTCGTTAGTTGATCATTGCCAGCTTAGTTTGTTACCTGTCTTTCAGTGACCTGGCCTGAAAGACAAGCCCAAAATAAGCAACCCAGTCTGAAAAACTAAGCCCAAAACAGATGACCCCTGGTTTTATTATTTAAGAAAAGTCTTATTGTTTCATCAAAAGCAGCTTGTAATGGCATAAAGATGCTGCAATCAAATTATTTAAATATCAAAATAGACTGGTAAAAGAAGTTCCAGTCAGTATGTGGGAACAGACAGAGAAACATGGTCACACACAAAATAATGATTAAGTCGTCATATGTTTTGTTCTATGAGAGGCAACCACTAATATGCCCAAATAAGTAATTGTATTATAGAAATATGCCCAAGAACGCAACCCATGACTGCTCAAATCTAAAAGCAACTTCTGGGGGAAAAAACAAGCCCAAAGTCACTTAAGCAGATTCGGCAACACTGCTGTCCTTGTTTTGTTGAACTGGTAGACACCTCAGATTCCTCAAATGTTTTTTTTTTCTTTTTTTAAAGCTGAGGTGAAATTTTTACTCAACTAGCAGGGCTGCTATCTGCATAAAAACCAGCCCAAACTAGAGCAATATCAAAACACAAAATATGCCACTCCCATACCTAAATCACATATTTTACAGCCACTGTTATGCATTACATGAAAATGTCAACTTCACACAGTAGTGAGATATATATACACACACCTAAACATATGATGTCAGTTTTCATAAAATCATCTTACCCTAAGATTGACAGATATTTAGAGTTTTAAGTTCTTGCTCTGATGCATACCTTCTTCTTGGTCCTTGTCATACAATTCTGCTCACTGGCTCCCTAAGAGTTATATATCACCGTTTTATCATTAGTAAAATATAAACTAGTGAGAGCTAATTAATTCAAACAAGTATTTCCATCGAATAAAATCTATGAAATATGTAAAACCTTTAACCCACAGTAACAGTGTAGCCCAATTCCACGGGAAAACCGCGGACTTTGCAAAGCTGAGCAGGAGCATACAAATAAGGATTGTTTCTAAGCAGGTTTCCCCAAACACTTCCCATCTGCCATTGGTCACACAAACCAATAGTCCCGCCCCAAACTCACGCCATTGGTTCAGCCACTGTTACTGGTCAGAATGCTCAAACAGACAGTTTTGATAACTCCAGTGTTTACCATTTAAGTCTCTGCATCTATTTATTGATTAAGAATATATAGGCTAAATATATATTCAGGTATATATATGTTTGTGTGTGTATGTTATGGGGGTCAGACTCGCCAAACCGTAAAAATCCTTTCCATGTGCAAAAACAGGGTGATGATACTGACGGCCATAAACTCAAGTCTATGTGTATGTCTGACTTTCCATAGGCCGTGGCAATCCGATCCCGATGAAATGGTGGCTAGAGCAAGCGAGAGAGTGTGTGTATGATAGCAGCTCCACTTCAGCAAAGCTCAAAACTATTACAACACTCATTTATTCCATACAGACAGGCGACTCTCCGCCTCCTTTATGTTTTTGGGTCTGTGTGAGTTATTTTAGGACTGCAGGAGGCTGGTCCTAGATCAGTCACCTAGATTTGGTGTGCATGCATTGAAACTAAATTTGTAATGTCGGGGTTTTAGGTCTTTGTTAGGCTATAATAAAATTAATTAGAAGCCTTGTTTTTGGTGTGACTCATGCATTTTGTCACGTGTGCTTATAGACTTTTACCATTTTTAACTGATATGAAAAGCAAAACAACTGGACAACAGTTGACTTATGGCTGTCAGTTTGATTTGATTTTCTGTGTGTGTTTATCCAACAGTTTATTATTAAAACAAGTATGACTATACTGGCGTTTTAGCTTGGAGGACAGAATACATGAAAATGAATTTAAGAGCCTTTTGAAGTACTGCAGGCGTTTGAAGTGCCGTTTTATTTTGGCACTAAAATAGCTATCCTTTCTCGATTTGACGGATGCAATTCTTTCTCTCATGAGATAAAAAATGAGATGAGCGCATGTTGAAATGAGTCTTTAACGAGCAGCGTGAGACTCCCCGTTCACTGCGCGCGCGAGCGTCATCGCATGAGCGCGTGATGGATCAAACAGCCCACATTACCCGAATAATGACCGGTGCCTCATCACACCCACATCTCAAAGAGCCACGGCTCCGTGACTTAATGCAGACATCACTAATGCAGACATAATGCGCGTTACGGACATTGGCCACATCGGGTGCCGCTGATGAGTGTCTGAGAACATAGTCAGAGGTGTGCGTTTGCGCGCGAGATCGAGGGCAGCAGTGAATATATTTCACCTATTTGCTTTATGCTGCGTATGTTGTGTTGTGGTTTGAGTTTGTAACAATGTACGTCACCCATAAATAGATCATCACATATTTATATAGCCTACTGTATAAAGTTGAATTAGACCTTGATGCGTATATGGATATTAATTATTTTATTTTTCAATTTCAAAGTACTTTATTGGCGTGATTGTTTTGCTTCCAACAATAAAATAAATAAACAAACAAACAGTAAATATACGTTGTTAATAAAAAATGTTAATAAAAAATAATGACAATATATCAATTTGAATAAAAGTAAATATTTATTTCACAGCAAAACTTGTCACAATACAACAACTCATCTTTGCCCTGCAGTACTTGTCATATCCGCTAGACGGCAGTTCATTGGTAAATTGGCAGTCAGGGCCGTCGCTAGGAATTCTGGGCCCTGTGCACTGAATTTGCTATAGGGCCCCCTCAAAATCACGTTCGGTCACCTTGGGGGGTGGGGGTTAAAATCAAGCCCATCCGGCCCACAAAGTCCCCTGTGAATGTTTTGGTGGGTTATAGGGCCTTCAATTGGAATAAACAAATGAATAAATAAAACAGGACAGAACCAAAAAAATGATAGATATTACTGAATTCAAGGCAAATGCAATATAATAATGCATTTTTGTCACATAGAAATGCACTTGACAGTAAAGCATTGATTTTGAGCTAGAATTGCAGGAAATTTACTGCTTATAAATTATGTGATCATTTCCTCACCCTTCTGTGGAACACAAAAGAATATATTTTGTATTTTACCAAACCATATTGGTTACCCTTGATTTCTACTGTATGGACAAAAATTTCTTGAATTTCTCAAATGATCTTTTATGTTCTACAGAAGAAAGAAATTTATTACAGGTTTGGAATGACATGATGTTGAGTAAATGATGATAATTTTCATTTTTGGGTGAATCTCCCTTTAAGAACTTTATTATTTGTAAATAGTAAACACCTAATTTAAGACACTGATATTTATCTTTAATCAGGCTCTTATTGAATCAACATTTTACTTCAATTAAATGAATTAGAACTAAACATTTAAAGAGAAATAAGTTCTTGAGTTTAACTGACTAGTATTAGTAAGATGTGGTCACAAGAAGTAAAACCATGGTCCTCATTACCATAGTTATATGGTTTTTAAAATAAATAATAGCCTAAATAATAATAAACGATGAAATTTGTAGTAAAAAAAAAACTAAACATGAAGAAACTACAAAAACACCTTTTATAAAAATTTCAATATTGCCCAGTATGTAATAACAGTATAATTTACAATAAATACATTTCTACCAAAACATAGGCTATCTGTACAATGTTAATAACTGCGAGGTAAATTATGGTGGTGGTGGGGGGTATATAGATTATATATATATTATTATATATAATCTATAGTAACATTAAACTTATTTCATAGGCTACTGCAATTCTGCACCTGCAATTCTAGCCAAATTTAAGATACGTTGTGTGTGAATTTGCACGTTATAATGTAAGCATCATTAATGACCCGTTTTTATAAAAAAATAAAATAAAAACGGATTAATTAGTGAAATGAAAGAATGATTTAATAAAAAATGAGAATGATTATTGTCTCTAATTGGCCTGTTTAGCAAAGCCATCAAAACACTTTTTATTTAGTGGTACAGTACTGCATGATTTGTAGAT